AAGGCTGCTGACTGTGGTATTACTGCTCTTCACATGGTTGCTTTGAATGGATATTTCGACTGTGTACAACTCCTACTTGACCTTCATGCCAATGTGTCTGCTGTGACATTCCATTATGGAACATCCATGGATATAATCGGTATGTTATTTTGTTAAAGAATAATATGACAAATTTGGAGACCACTTTATGCATGTTTGTTTCATAGTAATGGACAATACTACACAATGCCATACGTGAGATTTTAGCTTGTTTTACTTTAATATGCCTGTATTGTTCAATGCACTTTCTCAAACATGTTATTTGTGTTTTCACTTCAAGTTATTCTGAAATACTATTTTTTTAGGACCTGGAAGCACTCCTTTGCATTATGCTGCTTGTGGGGGAAATTTAAAATGCTGCCAGGTGATTATTATTTCTTTTTTGTTGATATTTAAACTTCAGGGAAAAAAAATGAAATTCCTCATCTAAGATTTCTTGACATTTGCAATAGGCATATAGTCTGATATTATGAACCTTTTGATTTATGCAGATCCTTCTTGCGAGAGGTGCCAGTCGTTTGGCATTGAACTGCAATAAGTAAGCCGGCTGGATATTTGTTCTTCTACACTTTGTTCATTGTATGTACCTTCTGTATGCAATACTTGACAGACCTATTCTCTGTTTCAGATGTCTTCCAATAGATGTTGCGAGGATGTGGGGGCGTCATTGGCTTGAACCACTGCTGGTGCCTAATTCTGATTTGACTGTCCCAGTGTTTCCACCTTCTCATTATTTATCATTGCCACTCATGAGTGTGCTCAACATAGCAAGGTGAATTTGAGATGTCAAGAAAATATATATGTGCCCAAATAACTGATCATACTAACACTTAACGTGAAACTGTAATTTAATTTTTATGTTTAATTTTATTTGTTCATGATAGTTATGTTCATACCTGATTTCTGCAGAGAGTATGGGTTGCAGTCTTCAGCAACCGGTGATGACACTGAGATTTGTGCAGTTTGCCTGGAGAGAGCATGTACAGTAGCTGCCGAAGGTCAGTTGTGTCATTCTCTATTAATATATCTCTTTCCCAATTAAAATATGCTCATTGTCCTTTTCCTGCTTTTTATGGATATTTCAATGGTCCGTTCTACCTCATTCGTGCGTGTTGGCCATCAATGCAGTCGCAAATTAGAAATATCTGATGACCAACCGTTGTTATATTCAATGGGATTAATATATCACGAGCGTGCATAATTCTATACAATGGTGGGGGTTACTGTTGTCATCATAGAACAACTCTTGCAATGTTTTAATTGTTCATTGGCTGCATTCCTATTTTCTAGACATTTATCTGTTCCCTTGTTATGCTCATAATTTAGTCCTGCCAGTTACATACATAAATTATGCCTCGTATCAAGAAAAATGCTTTGTCATGCCCAATCAGTCAATCTCAGTCTTAAAAAGTAATTTTGGGGATCTACAGTAGGTATTCGAGGATATCTTAAATATTCCATTTACTAGTAACATAAAAGAAAATGGACTAGGAATATCATCCAAAAGAAAAGAGAAAAGGAAGACCCACGTATCTGTCTTAGTATCTTAAAATCTTACATTCCCACGTTCACAAGAATTGAGCAATCACAAGTGTTAGCTGTTGAAAGACAATAAGATGAATATGGTAAAAAATTGACGATGTGAAGATGAACTTGTTGC